CTTTAATCGCAAATTCCCTTAAAGTTTGAGTCTTTTTTTTTTTCTATTGGAGTAGGAAGGAACAAATCCGGTGGTTGTTAGGTCTTCCGGCGACGGAGAGAGGAAGAAAGTAAATCCCCGTGAAGAGGTTTCAGTAACTAATGATGATGTTATTGAATTGATCCCTGGTCATCATTTCTTCAAGCTTGTTTTGTTACCTTGTGAAAACAATGGAGAGAATCAGAGAGGAAGCCATGAAAGAGCTGCTAAGAAAGCTCGGAAGGTTTGGCTTAACTAAAGAATGCAGATTTTTAATTGGTTTCCTTTGAGGTTTTGTTTTTTGATGTGATGATATTGTTTTAGGCTGAAACACAAGGAGATGGTGGTGATGATGATGTAGAGGCGATTCGTCGATTTGTTCCACCTAATGAGAAATTACCTTCTACGTTTCGGCTTTTGAATGTTAATGGGTTGCCTGATTGGGCTAATACCTCTTGTGTTTCCATTACTGATGTTATTGAGGTTAGTTTATATGCAAACGTATTAGTTAGTATGTTTTGTTTAGACATCTTTGACTAAAGAGTGATTTTGTAAATGGTAGGGAGACGTTGTTGCTGCAATCCTATCGAATTATATGGTCGATATAGATTGGTTGATGTCAGGTGAGTTTTCTCATATTTTGTTTGTTGAGTTTGTCGAAATGATTAGAGCTCTTTCGTGTACGTTTATGGGGGTAGTAATAGTTTTGCGTTAAACTTAATTCGATTCACTGCAATATCCGTTTGTAGCTTGTCCGAAGCTGGCCAACATTCCCCAGGTTATGGTCATTCATGGAGAAGGTGATGGTAGGCAAGAGTATATTCAGGTTTGTTGTGACACGTTTACGAATTTCATCTAGTTGATGTAAATGATAGGCCAAAATATCCAATCTCTGTTTTGTTTAACAGAGGAAGAAGCCAGCTAATTGGATTCTACATAAGCCCCGGTTACCTATTTCATTCGGGACACACCATTCAAAGGCTATGTTTCTCATTTATCCTCGAGGAGTGAGAGTTGTAGTTCACACTGCAAATCTGATCCACGTTGATTGGAACAACAAAAGCCAAGGTTTATGGATGCAAGATTTCCCTTGGAAAGATGATGACAAAGATCCACCTAAAGGTTGCGAATTCGAAGGTGATCTTATCGATTACCTCACTGTTCTTAAGTGGCGTGAGTTCACTTCAAGCTTACCTGGCCGCGGTAATGTCAAGATCAATGCCGCCTTCTTCAAGAAATTTGATTATTCCGAGGCCACGGTACTTTCTATTTCTCTAAAAACTTTTGGCTGATTTGTTTACATGTTGTTTGTGTACTAAGATATGCAATAATTTCCAGGTTCGATTAATTTCATCAGTCCCTGGATACCACACTGGTTCGAACTTGACAAAATGGGGACACATGAAGCTCCGAACGATTCTTCAAGAATGCATTTTCGATAGGGAGTTTTGCAGATCCCCGTTAGTTTATCAGGTAGTGTTCCATTCCAAGCTTTTATACACTTTATCAGGTAGGTTGCGTATCAGGTAGTGTTCCATCACATGCTAAAACGTCTTCTTTTTCAAAAAAATTGTATTGCAGTTTTCTTCCCTTGGTTCTTTAGACGAGAAATGGTTGACTGAATTTGGAGCTTCTTTGTCTTCTGGTATAACAGAGGACAAAACTCCTCTCGGTCCCGGAGATCCTTTGATAATATGGCCTACAGTAGAAGACGTCAGGTGTTCTTTAGAGGTAACCCGAACAAAGTTTCTTAGAGATTACATCTTTTCCTTGCACTTTATGGATTTTGTTCTAAACCGTGAAATCTTCAAACAAAGGGTTATGCGGCTGGCAATGCAATTCCGAGCCCATTGAAGAACGTTGAGAAACCATTTTTGAAGAAGTATTGGGCTGAATGGAAAGCGGATCACAGTGCTCGTGGGTAATTTTAGAAAACCAAACCTTTACGAACTTAAACTTCTGATTAGATTACTAAGCAATTCTGATATTTCTTAATCTTACAGTCGTGCAATGCCACATATCAAGACGTTCACACGTTACAGCGACCAAAACCTTGCGTAAAATTCATCAAGTTTCAATCTTTTGTTATCCATTTAATCAGAAAGTGTAAATTAGTGATCAATGTTCTTGTTTTGCTTCCATAGATGGTTCTTGCTAACCTCATCGAACCTTAGCAAAGCGGCATGGGGAGCACTTCAGAAGAACAATTCCCAGTTGATGATTCGTTCCTACGAGGTAAAACCTATTCTTTTTTGCGCATCAAAGTCTTATATCTTTGATAACTACTAACCAAATTTCGTTGACTGTAACATTGTTAGTTGGGCGTCTTGTTCTTACCATCTCCAATAAAAACACAAGGTTGTAAATTTTCGTGCATCGAGAACAACCAGAGTACTATGAAGGTAAACTTACCCAACATTCATAAACCCTTACCCAAATTTTGATCTTTCCCTCTAAACTGTATTATGCTGGTAGGCAAAACACGAGATAGAGAAGAGGAGAAAGCTAGTGACAATGACTTGGAAAGGAGACCGAGATTTGCCTGAGATAATCTCCTTACCAATTCCTTATCAACTACCTCCTAAGCCATACACACCCGAAGGTTTATTTTATTTTATTTGGCATTCATTATGCAACACAAATCACTTCTTTCTTTCGCGGGTTCTTAGCGTTTTTTATGGCACTGTGATTTTCAGATGTTCCATGGTCATGGGACCGAGGATACTCGAAGAAGGATGTGTACGGACAAGTCTGGCCAAGATAGCTTTAGCTATTAGGACTTGAGAGTGTGGCTTTATGAGTTAATTTACTCGTTCTGAAAGACAAACTAATCTTTTGGTTTAATGCTTATCGATCATCAACCAAATGGAAATATAAGAAAATTTGATTGAAATATTTGGATTAAACCAGATTAGTCCACTTTCAAATGGAAATATAAGAAAGTTCCATTGTAATTCATTAGTTTAGTAGATTAAATAAGGTAAGATTATGATTGGAAAATTGTAATTCATTTAGGTAAACAGAATTTTTATTTTAGTTTGGGGAGAAACATAAATTGAACACCTTATTACATGTCGGGGGAGAGGAGCAACATTAAAACACGATTAGCATAAGTGATAAGCACAAATATACAAAATATAGATATAGAGATTGGAGCCAGATATTTCATATTGTTATGACAGAAATGTGTCGTTGGTTACAAGAAACCTAAGATTTAAATTCGAGACATAAAAATAAAAGAAAAAAAATGAAGAAGATTTTTTGGTGGTATATATTCGATAGACATTTAGAATACAAACAGACGAAGACAAGCATTCACAATCAATGTCTACATTTCCAACAACATCCGTCCCTCTCTTGATGATTTTGGCCTTTCTCATATCTATACAAACTTGGGGTAAAAGACAAAAAGATAGCTAATTAGTATAATCAAGATTCAAATGTTCATTGCTATTTCACATGTTAAATTAGTCCTCGAATCTTAGTAAAAAGCTAGTCATGATTTATATATTGATTAAGAACGATCCTTCTTCTATGTTCTGACCATTCACAATTGGACCAGGTAGTATCCACAAGTTTGGATGATTTTATTCAATGCCTTGGGACTTTGATTGGATAATTTTATTCCAGTGCCTTGAGACTTAGGATATCAGTAAGTAGAAGTATCAAGAGAATTGATATAATACCACCAAATATTATTAATATCATCAAAACAACATGAGTTCGATAGGACTTTCATTGGTTTTAAAATTTTTGTCGAGAAAAACAGAAACAAAGAAAATGGTTGTGAGCAGTGGCGGATCCAGAAACAATTTTATCGGGGGCAGAATATTTAACTAGCACTATATAAAATATAATATCGTTTTCGAAGAAAAAACTTATTTTGTCGCAAATTCTTTTACGATTTTACATAGTTCTTGTTAAAAATATTTTTTTTTTCTAAACAAGTGTCTACAAAAAAATTATTTGAAGTTTATGATAAAATATTTATTGTATTGAATATGTGACGGATTTATGAAGAATTTGACTTACGACAAATAAAATTGTACTTAATTAATACAATAGTAAAAAAGACACTAAATCATAAAAAAATATTAATTCAATAATATAATGAAAACTTAAAATTGTTTACTTATGTAAGTTTTGTAGACAAATAACCAAAATAAAAATGTTTTTAGTACAATTAAGATATAGATCCTTGAGATATCAATACCATATGTTTAGTTCTAAATTTATTTTCTAAATCTAGTTTACTTATAGTCTAGTGACTAATTTTAGTAAGCAAATATAATTGTGAAAAATATAGATCCACTTAGTTATAAAAAAATTAGGTGGACACAAAATTCAATTTATTTGGAAAAAAGAGTAAGTGAAAGACAAATAAAATCAATTACAAATGGAGGGCATTAATATTTTATTTTTACTAATTACGCTACTTATAATTAATTCATAGGGGGCAGCTCCCCCCCTTCCCATTCCATGTGCCTCCACCCCTGGTTGTGGGTCTTAGAATTTGTCAAGGACTTTTAAATCAATAAAGCTTGATAATTGGCAACATTTTGACTTTTAAAAGTTTAATCAATACTATAATAACACAAGTGTCTCTCCATAGAATGACACATCAACATTTTTATTGTAACACCTCATTTAAAAAAAATTAACATGAAGAGCCAATCAAAATATAACATAACGACACTTAATCATTTTTAATCTTTTGAGAAAATGACATGTCTATTGAATAATAATCAAACAACAATGGTTCCAAAGTTTTACCCCTTTCGCCTTCCTTCACATTCATCCCCCTTTTTAATCTTTCATCTGTATATCTGAATATTAATCGACAATGGTTCTAAGTTCCAACGTCACCTTTCTGTATTTCCAATAGTGAATCACATCAATTTCATTATACTATTTTTTTCTTATCCACTTCTAGCAAGCCACACCAACATGTAATTTCAGTGGTTTTTTGTTTAACGGTCTCGATTCTTATAGTGCTTTTGAATGTTTGCGAATGCGTATACAAAACAATTGACGATTATCGACCAGCCAGTAATTGGTGCGGCGCGAGCTCGGTTGATAGTCGCTGAAACCAAGCTTTTCTTGTATAAATAAAGATGTTAAATATGTATAAGATTCTACAGAACTTACCTAATTCATGCGGAATTATTCAATAAAACTATAAACTATATATTTTATGTAAAAATTATGGAGCTTATAAAATAACATTTAACTCGCAAATGTCCTGTTTTCATTTCATTTATAGCATATAATATATTATATCGGATTTGAATATGGATGGTGATATAACAACAAACATATAGCACTATGGTATAAATCTTCCTCTCGACATTGATATTCTCCATTTCGCCTAGAGCTGTCAATATGGCCCGCGGATATAGGCCCATCACAGGGCAAGTTTGGACATAATTTTCTAAACCCGTTTAGAAGTGGGTTTCGCAGACTGGCCCGTTACGGCTTGCGGGTTAAACGGATTTATCAGTTACGGATTTGCGGATAATCTGCCAAACACTAAACTAAATATGATTTGTGAACTTTTTGTTTGAAATAAAAGATTTCAAAGTAATAATTTCTAATGAAACCCTAATTTTTTATTATTGTGTTTATTCCTAATAAATTCAAAAGCTACTCACGAAAAAAAATTCAAGAGTCACGACATAATCACAAATTTAGAGCCATAATTAACATAGAACCGAGCTACATTCAACCAAAACTGGAAACTCGTCATGTTAAGTTATTGATGTATTTTTTTCTGATTCAAGTTAGAGCTTGAAATCAAACTCTGCAATGATTGTTTGTTATTTTTAATAACAAATCCAGTTTCGTTTGTTTTTAATATTTTCCTTCTTAAATTGT